TCCAGAACCTCCAGCGCCAGCACCAGCAGCAGCTCCAGAACCTCCAGCTCAAGCGCCACCAGCAGTAGCACCCCCAGAACCGGCACCTCCAGCTCCAGGGCCTCCAACCTCAGAGTCGACAGCAGCACCTCCAGGTCCAATAGGACCTCCAATCCCAGCAGCTCCAGTACCTCCAGTACGAGCACCTTCGGGACTAGCTGCTCCAGGAACTCCAGTAGCAGAGTCACCAGCTCTAGCGCCTCCCGCAGCAGGGCCCCTAGCTCCAGCAGCGCAACCCTGACGGCTAACGTACCACTCACGCAGCTGCTGTGGGGAGAGAGGGACAGCACCGGCTCTTGTGCCTCCAACACCAGCACCTCCCGCAGCAGGGCCCCCAGCTCCAGCAGCTCGACCCTGACGGCTAACGTACCACTCACGCAGCTGCTGTGGGGAGAGAGGGAGACGACGACGAGAGTGCAGCGGCGAGGCACCAGCGGAGCGACTACGAAGACGGCCGCTCCAGGGAGACTGCTCACCAGACGCCTCAGCGCCCCCAGGTGCAGCACCCCCAGACTCAGTACCCCCAGGCTCAGCACCCCCAGACTCCGCACCCCCAGGCTCAGCACCCCCAGGCTCCGCACCCCCAGGCTCAGCACCCCCAGAAGCAGCACCCCGAGCAGGACCACTCTCAGCAGGACCTGAGTCACTAGTGACCTCAACCGGCGCAGTCAAGGGAGGAGGGTCTACCTGAGACACACCTGAAGGAGCAGGACCGGGAGCGGGGAGGGGGTCTACCTGGGTAGCACCTGGAGCGAGGAAGAGCGGCGGGGGGGGGAGAGGGGCAGTGTGGTAGGGGAAGAGACGGTAAAAGGGAACCGACTTGTTGAACGTGACGTCCTGAGAGGGGAAGACACGGCGCGAGGTGAGGTGGTAGAACCGCCAACCAGGCGCGTCAGGACAAAGCCAAGGAAGACACACGGAACGGCGCGGGCAGAGAGCTTGTCCGCGGTGGTATCGCGGACAAAGGCACGAGAACCCCAGACCCGGAACACCGACGCATCGCCAACCTCCCCCGTCCACCGCAGTGTGGGCGAGGTCTACGGCAAGGAGACACGGGGCCAGAGGTTGAGCTGATGCGCGGCGTAGTGGACCGCAAACGACCACAGAAAATGGGGGGCAGCCGCATGGACCATGGAGGTACGAGCGATCTCCATGACCAAGCCAATGCGGCGCTCAGCAACCCCATTCTACTGCGGAGAGGCCGGAAGCGTGAACGTCTGGAGAATGCCCTCCCCACGACAAAAGCTTTGCAGAAGGTCGGAGGAAAACTCACCACCTCTGTCAGAGTGCAGACGCAGGACGGGATACTCCGTCCCGAACTGCTCACAGAGCTAGAGACGGGCACCGCGGATCCAAGGGATCAAAACATCAGGAACCTCTGCGCAAGGGGAAGACCGTGGTGTAACGCGAGTAGTCGTCAACAACCAGCAGGAAGTACCGCTCGCGGTCCTGCCCACTGACGCGGGCTGGGCCACACACGTCCATGTGCAGGATCTGCAGGGGAGCTGTCGTCGAGGGAAAGGAGGAGGAGTGAGGAGGGGTGCGCTGCCACCCCTCGACATAGGGAAGACAGGGAGGAGCAGGCGAGGGTGGGAGGGGAGGGAGAACCCTGGGAAGTCCAGAGACAAGGACACGTCGGTGCATGCTACGAAGGCGCTGCACCGAGGGGTGACCAAGACGGTGGTGCCAAAGGAGGGTCTGGTGCGACAAAGCGCGACATGAGCAGGGGACCGCTAGCTGACCTGACGCAGACGCAGACGCAGCGACCTGAGGGGACACAGTAGTCAGTGTGTACAGACTCGAGCCAGGCGCACGGGTAAACGTGGCCAGGTGCCGGCCCGTCCTGGAGCACGTACAGTGGGTCACGCGCTGCCCTTAAGGAGTGAACTGGTCAACCCACTGGTCCTGGAGATCAGCACCACTCACCAAGTTCGTAGAGAACGAGGGGAGGTGAAGACCTGACAGGGAGCCAGACGGGACCGCCGGACACGGCAGGACCGTGGAGGAGTGCGCAAGGACTGGACCCCCAGAGGGGTCTGCCAGGGAGTCTGCAACCGGCCGACTGAGCGGCGTGAGGGTGGTGCTGTCGCGAAAGAAGGAGCGGGAAGCACCTGAGTCAAGTGTGAAGGTGTACAAGGCCTTAGCAGGCGCAGTACCAGAGAGAGCAGACTCACCAGTACCTGGAGCAGCAGCCTCACCAGCACCTAGAGCAGAAGACGCACTAGCATCTAGAGCAGCAGCCTCACCAGCACCTAGAGCAGGAGACGCACTAGCACCCAGAGTAGCAGCCTCACCAGCACCTAGAGCAGCAGGCTCTATACCTGGGTCAGGCGGTACGCGCAGGTAACAGGCACGGTCAGCACTAGTAGGCAATGCATACATGGTAGTGAGAATAGCATCATAGTTAAGAGCAAAGATATCTACCCTCTGCCCAAGCAGCTCCAGCCAGGTGGGGAGCTCAGCCTCGTCGCCAAACTCGGTACGCCAGGCGTCGCTCAGACGGGCAAAGCAGCGGGACTGTGTGTGACCAAGCGTCCCGCAAGCCTGACCAGCCCGATCACCTGTGCGAATGACGTACGGACAGCGAACGGTACTCCGATACCCTCTACTCTGAGCGTACCACTCATGAAGCTGCTGGGACGTAAGTGTCTCGCGCGGACACCGCTGCAGCTGCGGCTGGCCGCTCCAAGACGCTCCCGACTAACCAGCTCCAGGGCGACAGCTACGACGGCTACCGCCACAACCCCAACTAGCGTACCAGTCACGAAGCTGCTGGGGCGTGAGAGACTCGCGCGGACGTCGCTGGAGCTGCATCTGGCCACCGCCAGTAGCAGCAGTAGCAGCCTAGCAGTAGTAACAGAAGTAGCAGCAGTAGCAGCGCGGGCAGGGCAGGTGCGGCAGGCAGGTAGGCAGGCAGACAGGCAGGCAGATGGCGCGGCAGCACACGAACAAGGCAGGTGCTCACCAGTGGCGGCACTGGGTCGTTCCCTCCTGGTACCCAGTGGAGCCTCCGGCGGCCAGTCTACGGTCTCCGCCAGGCGGCGCGTGAGTGGCACGACTCACTGAGGACTACACTTGCGGCTCTTGGGTTTGCTCCGTCGACTGCTGACCCGTCGCTGTTTCTACGCACCGACACTTCGCTGCCGCCGTTCTACATCCTCGTGTACGTCGACGACTTGGTCTTTGCCACTGCTGACACTGAGGCTCTCGCCCTGGTGAAGTCGGAGCTGCAGAAGAGACACACGTGCACAGACCTGGGTGAGCTGCGCAGCTACCTTGGCTTGCAGATCACCCGGGAGAGAGCACGCCGCACCATCACACTGACTCAGTCACACATGGTGCAGCAGGTCCTTCAGCGCTTTGGCTTCACCTGGTCCTCGGCACATGCCACTCCTCTGGCTACAGGTCACTCGCTCTCAGCTCCACCTTCGGACGAGTCTGTAGAGCCGAGTGGTCCTTACCCAGAGCTAGTGGGCTGCCTCATGTACCTGATGACCTGCACTCGACCTGACCTTGCGTACCCTCTTGGCCTTCTGGCTCGCTACGTGGATCCTGGTCGGCACCGAAAGGTGCACATGGATGCTGCTAAGAGGGTACTACGCTACTTGTGCAGTACATCGGGCATGGGGCTCGTGCTTGGAGGACGGAGCCCAGTTGTCCTCACTGGGCACTCGGACGCTTCTTGGGTTGACGACCTGGCTACGCAGCGGTCGTCACAGGGTTACACCTTTAGCCTTGGCTCTGGCTCTGTCTCTTGGCGGTCTACACGCTCGTCCTCTGTTCTCGGCTCCAGTTGTGAGGCTGAGATCTACGCCACAGCCATGGCTGCACAGGAGCTACACTGGCTCACCTACCTACTGACCGACCTTGGAGAGCGACCTCGTTCTCCTCCAGTGTTGTACGTAGACAACAAGGCCTCCATTGCCTTGTGTCAGGAGCACAGACTGGAGCACAGAACGAAGCACATCGCTCTGCGTTACTTCCTTGCTCGAGAGTTGCAGCAGCGTGGTCAGCTTCGTCTTGCTTACGTGGCCACTCGGGCCAACACTGCTGATATATTCACCAAGGTACTTCCGCCTGGTGATCATCAACGCCTTTGTACGTCAACGCCTTTGTACGTTGTTGGGCCTTGTGCCTACGTTTCCTCACTTACCGTAGGCTCTGCCTGTACTGTGATTTATTTGTATATACCCGCATGCTTACTCTTGGTAGGTGGAGATCACTGTGCTGTTGTTGTTGCATATATACCTCTGCATGTGAACTGGCCTTGTGGCTCTTTGCTTGTGCTCAGTGTGTGTGGTGACGTAGTGATCCACCCTGAGCTTGCTTTGCTTCTCTTGACTGGTTTGGTGACCCCTTGCTCTCCCCCACTTTGCCTATGGGGGTGTGTCAAATTATATGTATGTCATATATGTGTAGGTTGTAGTGTGGTAGCCAACATGGGGTACAACCCCATTAGGGTTTCACATTTGTACCCAACTCTTTCATAGTTCATCCATTCCTGCAAGGACAAGGTACCAGAGAGTGATAGTGAAGATGACGGCCGTGCAACGCTGACCCTCACCAGTGATTCTGGCACAGAGTAGCTAAGTGATGGTGCTTCCTAGACTCGTAGTCTAGGTACCTTAGTTAGAAGCTGAACTGACTAGTGTAGAGTGGTTTCTGCAAACTTGTTAAACATAGAGTAGGCTTATAAGGTAGGACATATTCTAATATCTGATTTATAAGGTAGGACATATACTAAAATCTGATGCAAAAGGCGGGCCCTAAATGAAATGTCTGATGCAGAAGACGGGCCCGAAGGGACCGTCTGATGCGTCAGGCTGGTTCTGGCACTAGCGAGGACCCTGGCTACACCTCTCAGCTGATTAGCAGCTACAAATGCCAACATTGATAATAGGTTCCCAGCTTCGAAGCCAACCCTGCACCACTAATACCTCCATGCACTATCCCTATCTACTCTACCAAGCAGGAACCTCCTCCCATTCACAGCTTTTTCCCCAAGAGCCCTTTACTTCAATCACACTCACTCTATCCACCAGCGATTGTGGTAACTCCTTCAGCTGCACGCAACCGTCCAGATCCACCTCCCTCAGACAGGACAAACTGCCCAAGTCACTGGGCAGAGCCCTCAGCTCCTTGCATTCTTGCAGCGAGACTTGGATAAGTGAAGGGAGGGAGAATGGAAACGGGAGAAAACGCAGCTTGGGCAGACGATTGAGTTTCAGAGAGGAAAGGCGGGTGAAGAAGGCGAGGGAATCTGGAAGACAGGTGATCTTAGGACAGTTGATGATGCTGAGTTGTATAAGGGAGGAGAGCAGAGTGAAGGAAGACGGAAGGTCCTGCAGGCTTTTGCATGTATCCAAACCCAACTCATGGAGTGCCTTCAGCTGCCCGAGATTCTCGGGCAGGTGAGTCAGCCGAGAAAGGGACTTGAGATCAATCTGCTCCAGTTTCGAAAGCGTAGCAATGGAAGAGGGGAGGGACGTCATGGCATGGCACTTTTCGAGCAGCAGCACTGCCAACTCCCTCAGATCGCCTAAATTCTCCGGAAGCGAAGGGAGGTTGGAGTTGACAATGTGAAGGTGCACCAGAGATGACAGGCGCCCCAACCCAGCCTGCCCTATTGATCCAGGCATCCTGGGAAGCTCAGGCAGTGGGGTGCGAGGTATAGCCTCCTCTTCGGCTTCAGCGTTGGCTGGGGTGTGGTTGAGGGCTGGCAGGCTTACAAGCTGCTGGAGGGAACGGAGGTCATATAGGTTCAAGTGAAGAAGGCGGTCGAGGGAAAGGAAGGACTTCGGGAGGTAGTGGGCTGACTTAAAGACATTTGAGATGATAACAGTCGCTACAGATTGCGGAAGGGAGATAGGCGCTACAAGTGGGGGCGGCGAAGGGGAGTTGGAGGAGGGGAATGGAGAAACCAAGCTGGTGCTAGATTTGGGGAGTTTTAGGCCAGTGCAGTTTTCGAGCGTGAAATGCCTGAGCCTAGGCAGCAGATGGAGGCCTTCTGGAAGGTTCGTTAGCTTTGGGCAGGATGAAATCAGCAGTTCTTGAAGTAGCGGGAGTGGAGTGATGGTGGTGGAAAAGGAGGAGGTGTCAGCAGATGGGGTGGCGGCAGATGATGGGGCAGCAGATGACGGGGCAGCAGATGAGGTGGCAGTAGCTGAGGTGGCAGAAAATGAGGCAGCAGCAGCAGCAGCAGCAGAGGAGCTGGCAGCAGGAGGAGAAGATCCAGCAGCTGGGGCACCAGCCTCAGCAGGAGGAAAGAAGGACGGGAAGACCTTCACCCGCTTGCAATTCTCCACTTTCAGAACTTTCAGGCTGCACAGGTTGCCCATGCCACTGGGAAGCCCCTCCAGCATCGCACACCCATCGATGATCAGCTGCTCCAAGCGAGTGAGCAAGCTGAAGGAGGAGGGAAAGCCTCACAGGAAGCAGGATCCGTCCAGATCATACTCCTCGTCATCGTTGGTGTATGTTTCGGTTGTTTGCACTTTGAGGATTTCCAGGCTCGGCAGCTCCCCGAACCTATCGGGCAGGTACGGCATGCCGCAGTTTAGCAGCTCTAGTGTACGGAGCTTAGACAGCTTCTCAAAACCCAGAGGCAACTCCCTAAGCGAGGATCCACCGTAGATGAGTAGCGTTTCTAGTGAAGAGAGGTTGGTGAAGGAGGCAGGGAGCTCGAATAGGTCGTAGCATTCGTAGATGGTCAGCTCTTTCAGCTGCCCTAGCTGCCCGAACGAGTCAGGCAGGTGAGAAAGGCCTGTAGAAAACAGCTTCACAGAGACCAGGTTTTGCAGCTGCCCAATGTCTCCGGGCAGGCCTGAAAAAGAGCAGCCGTCAAGAATGAGGCTTGTGAGCGCTCCCATGGCGCATACAGACTCGGGGAGGTTCACCAGATTGACGCACTCAACCACTTTCAACTCCTTCATCGCCGTAAGGAACCCCAGGGAATGCGGAAGAGCCGTAAGATTATCAAGGAACTTCAGATGCAGCTGCTGAAGAGCGGAAAACTGGCCGATATTGTCAGGGAGCGAGGATAGGCGTGAGCAATTGAGGATCGTGAGATTACGGAGGGCAGGAAATCGCAAGGGTTGGCCGGCGGGCTGCTGACCGAACGAATCGGGAAGCGCGGTGAGAGCAGCCAGATCGTCTAAATGCAGCGTATCCAGGTCGGGCAGCTGGAGAAGATTCTCTGGTAGGCTGGCGAATCGGGGACAATGGTCGAGAGAAAGGTGGGAGAGGGTCGGCAGATGACAAATGGATTCTGGAAGAGCGGCCAGGAGTGGCAGATACGATAGGCTTAGGATCTTGATGTTACGAAGCTGACCTAAATCGCTCGGGAGATGGCCAATAGGGCAGTTGCGAAGAGAGAGGTGCTCCAGAAAGGTGAAACGCTCGAACGAAATAGGCAGCTTGCGAAGAGACTGCGACACGATGAGTAACTGCTTCAGTCCCAACAAACCGCACAGCTCGTCTGGTAACCAGGTAACGTTACGAAAACTCATGCTGAGGCGCGTGAGCTGCTGTAGGCGGCTGATGGAAGGTGGGATATCGCAAACACCTTTTCCCAGCCGTAGATCCAGATTGACCAATCGCGTGCAGGAATTGAAGATTTCGGCGACATCCGAGGCCGCGATCGGTACAAGGCTGGTCGACTGATTCCCGCGGCTACTACCGGCCGATTGCGTGCTCGATATTGACTGGTAGCTTGTTCTTCTGATACCGGACGTCACTGGTTGGCGATCGTACAGGTGCACTGTGAAATGGGTCAGCGACGAGCCGCATCCGTTGCAGATGGATCGCACGAGGTGGCGATCTACGACGTCCGTCGCGAATTCGCCGAGGTGCAGGTGGCGAAGGTTCGGGAATCCCGAGGTGGGTGAGATCAAGAGCGAGGCGAGAGTTCGTGCAGAGAAAAAGCGGTTTCGAGGCACGACGATGGCGGGATGCACAGATCTGGCGACGCGCAGCCATCGCTTGCAGACCAGAGCGTGGCGGAAAGCAGTGAGCGACGAAGCTGTGGCGACAGGAGCCTCGGGTAACCCGAACAAGACGCTCTCGCTCGGCAGGTGCTCGTTCAACGCGTTCTCGATCCTTTTTTGCAGAATGGGCTCGTTACTGGGACAGTCGTGGATATCGAACTTGGTGCCCTTAGATGCGACGAGGAGAAGAATCGTTTCTAGCAAATCGTCAGAAATACTTGAAAAGAGATTATCATGGCTGCTAATTCGTTGCCGACGTTCTGGCTGATCAGGGGCCCATGGCTGCTGTGGCATTTTCCCTTGCGCTAGCTCAATGGTACCCTTAGGGCCGATCATATTAGCAGATGTCAAGTACGAAGCAGCAAAAATACAAGCTCATAACAACACGGAAGTCATAACGTGACGGTATAGTCCACTCCAGGGTCTGAAATCTAGGTCGGTTTTTCAGAGACCACGATTTCCTTGCTTGCTGGGGGTGTGGATGGAACCTCGCTGTATGTAAACCGCCGAAGCACTGGGGTGTGGGAGTTTCGAACGTGCCTCATAGGGTCCGCCATATTTCATTCGTTCAGGGAGGTTCAGTCTGTTGCGCTATGGTCTCAAGCGGTGAAAAACAGCTGCTCTGCCTCAACGGTTCGCAGGGCGGTAAACGAACACCAAACGAAAAACCACGAACCACCAGAAATTCGAAATCCCAGTTCTTCCGCTTTGCCACACTTCCCAAACCACTAACCGCGAAACCTAACCAGCTCCAAACCATACCAAGCCAGACAGGTTCAAAACCATTCGAAGACAACCAGAACCAAACCATACCAAACCAAACTGTTCGCCTCCGAACTTATGACGAGCCTGGTTTCCCGCCAAATCTCATTGTCACTTTTCCTGTCAAACAAGCCTGCTCATCCTCTCTGATTCACAAGCACCAGCAGCAGCAACTCTCTGATTCACAAGCAGCAACGACTTTCTGGTTCACAGGCAGCAGCAACTCTCTGATTCACAAGCAGCAACGACTTTCTGGTTCACAGGCAGCAGCAACTCTCTGATTCACAAGCAGCAACGACTTTCTGGTTCACAGGCAGCAGCAACTCTCTGATTCACAAGCAGCAACGACTTTCTGGTTCACAGGCAGCAGCAACTCTCTGATTCACAAGCAGCAGCGACTTTCTGGTTCACAGGCAGCAGCAACTCTCTGATTCACAAGCAGCAGCAGCTCTCACAAGCCCTTACCTTACCAGTCTTCCATTAGAGTTTCTCTCATGTTGCCTACCTCTCAGCTAGCATCCGAGGAGAACATGACGCAAACACCAGCGGAAACATCTCAGCAGCCTTTTGTTCAGGCTGCAAACCAGCCGCTTGCAGCGACGCAGCAGAAAATGATCGGTGATATCTTTTCCCGCATTTCTGACGACCTGCTGGGTGTGATCCTTCGTTTTGTTGCTTCTAACGGCAAAGAATTCGACAGCATTGATTCGCTCGCTAATACCGAGGACATTCTCCAGAAGAAAATTGAGGATGCATTGCGGAAGCCGCTGCCATGCGAGAGCCAGCGGTTAGGCACGACTAAGGTTCCTCCTTCCGAGACTTGCTCCTTAGTCGCGTTCAGCCACGCTCTCGTCTGCAAGCGATGGCTGCGCGTCGCCAGCTCCGTGCATCCCGCCATCATCGTCCCTCGAAACCGCTTCTTCTCCTCACGAGCTTTCGCCTCCCTTCTCGCTCCACCAAAATCTAGGTTCTCGAATCTTAGTCACCTGCATCTCGGCGAGTTCGCGTTAGACTCCATTGATAGCAACCTCGTGCGATCCATTTGCACCGGATGCGGCTCAACGCTGACGCATCTCACGATGCACCTGTACGATCGACGGTTCTCGCGATCCACGCAGCACAGCAGTAGCGGACGCCATGGACAGTCGAACAGCCTCGCACCGTCCGATGTCGCTGCCATCTTCGAATCCTGCTCGCGATTGGTCAATCTCCAGCTGGACGGTGTTCAGGAGATTCCGGCTTCCATCAGCCGTCTGCAGCAGCTCACGAGGCTCAGCGTGAAGTTAAGCGAAGGCGTTACCGGGTTACCAGAGGAGTTCGGCAGGCTGGTGGGACTTCAGGACTTGCAGTTTCAGTCGGGGCGTTCGTTGAGTACTTCACCTGATCCCATATGCTATCTCAGCTCCCTCGAGCGACTCACCTTCAGCGGCTCCCACATTTTCCATCTGCCCAGTAATTTGGGGCAGCTCCGGAATCTGAAGTTCATCAGCCTCATGTTTCTAGAAGAAGTTTCTGAACTGCCAGTTTCGATCTGCGAGCTTTCAAGCCTTATGCACCTTTCTCTCAGCCATTGCCCGCAGCTCACCAGGCTGCCCGAAAACCTTCACCAACTGCCCAATCTGGACACACTGGAGCTGATTGGACTGATGGCTCTGACAGCACTACCTGAGAGTATCGACCAGCTGCCAGCTCTACAGGAAATATATATTCACACCTGCCCGTTACTGACGCAACTGCCAGACTCCCTATCCGCCAGCCAGTCCCTTCGTCGCCTCACAGTAGACAACTGCCTAGACATGGCCTCGCTACCCGACGACATCGGCCTGATTGATACTCTCCAGTACCTGCACCTGGACGCTCTTGATGAGCTCAACGTGCTTCGGGACTCCGTTTCACTGGAATGTTTGGAGATCTATGGTGGAACCTGTATTGAAATGCCGCCTGTTGGGTTTGAGCAGCTGCTGCAGCTGAGGAGATTGGAGCTGTTTAACTGCTCCATTACCGAACTGCCTGAAGATTTTGGAGACTTAGCGAACTTGAAAGAATTTAAGATTGGTACCAGGGATACTTACACCAGGAGGGGGTTCGATGTTGACATTTTCTTAATTTCTGGTCCGAGAAATCCGGAAGCAGAGGTTGCTTCTGAGTCTGCCTTAAGCGGGTCATGCGCTCTTCGTGCTCTTCCACACTCGCTAGTTAACCTCCCCCGTCTGGAGCTGCTGATAATCGACGGATGCGAGGAGCTAGTGGAGCTGCCAATAGGCATGGGCAATCTGTCCAGCCTTACAGCTCTTGAGGTGATGAACTGCGAGAATCTGCGTGTCTTCCCTTCGCTCTTGGCTCGCGTTGATCCAGGACCTTCTGTCGCTGCTGCTGCCGCCGCCGCCGCCACCGTGACTGCTGCTCCTGCTGCCGCCGTTGCCGCTGCTGCTGCTGCCACTGCATGTTCTTCCGGAGCCGATCCTTGCCCCTCTGCTAGCTACATTCCTCTCCCGTCACTCCAGCGCCTGAAGATCTCTGGCTGCCCCAAACTGGAATGTCTTCCAGAGGGCCTCGATCTGCTGCCTAGGCTGGAAGATTTCACTCTTGCAGACTGCAAGAATCTAAGACTTGCCGACCAGACCGTTTGGCTTCCCACTGTACCGGTCGACCCCCTGCCTCTTTCTGCACCTATCTCCCTTCCTCGCTCCCTGACCTCCATTTCCATTTCCGACACCTTTGAGAGAGCTCGCTACCTGCCAGAGTCCTTTCTTTCCCTCAGCCGCCTCACCAGTCTGAAGATCCAAGGCCTCCAATCCCTCCAGCAGCTGATAGCCCCTCTGTCCTTACACCAAAATCCATCCAAAAGGAAGGGGGAAGCCGCGCCTCATGTTCCTCCTGAAAACTCGAGTCCTAGGCAAGCTTGGTTGGAGCTCCTATCCTCTCTCACCTTCCTCCACATCAGCAATACCAGGTTGCCTTCGCTCCCAGATAACCTGAGTGATCTGAGAGGGCTGAAAGTACTTGTTCTAGAGGAGTGCCCTGCCATGCCACTCCTTCCTGCCTGCCTCTCCGACCTTTCCAATCTTGAACGGCTCTCCATCAAGACTCTCCCGCTACTTACCAACCTGCCCGAGAACCTTGGGCAGCTGAAGGTTCTCAGCCTGCATCTTGAATCATGCAAGGAGTTGCAAGGCCTTCCTGCTTCCCTCACTCTCATGACCTCCCTCATATGCCTCAGCATTGTTGACTGTCCCCGCATCACCAGCCTTCCAGATTCCATTTCCTCTCTCTTCCACCTCGCATCTCTAAAGCTGAACCACCTGCCTGGTCTGAACCATCTCCCGCCCACTCTCCCCCTCCTCCCGTCCCTTGTCAAACTTTCTCTAAGAGAGTGCACTGGATTACGTGCTCTGCCCAGCAACTTGGGCAGTTTGTCCTGTCTGAGGGAGGTGGATCTGGACGGGTGCTTGCAGCTAGAGGTGCTGCCTCAGTCGTTGATGGAGAGGCAGAATGTAGTTGAAGTGAAGGGCAGCTGGGGAAGTGCTGGGAATTGAAGTGAAGGGCAGCTGGGGAAGTGCTGGGAATTGAAGTGAAGGGCAGCTGGGGAAGTGCTGGGGATTGAAGTGCTGGAGCGTTTTTTTTTTGTTTTTGTTATTGTGTTACTACTGTACTCCTGGTCCTTCTTTGGTTGAAATGCGGTTATTTATAGAACTGAGCTGGCAGTACTGCTGCTTCTGGTAGCGGATCGGCGTGGCGGCGGTGGTAGTGGTGGAGGGGTT